TCTGTTTTTAAAATGGGCGAAATATGTCCTGCTACAGTTGTTAACAATCTTGATTCTGGGTTAGAGATAAAAATAGAATATGACGAAGAAGCAAACGAAACTAGCTACTTGAAGGGACTTGTGCCCATACGTCTGTTATCAGATTTTAACGATTTACTTCTGGCTCAAATGAACATACATCCACCAAATAGTGATTTGCAAATTTGTTGTGTAAATAAAAATATATTCAGTTTGCGTGATGTGGAATACTTTCTACAAAATTGTACGAAGACTTGGGGTACAGTTAAAATTGGCGACATCTTAAAAGCTACAATAAAAAATGTTGCAGAAAACGTAATTGAAATAATGTTGCCCATAAAAAACTTTAACAAGTTGGTTAAATTACATAAAGATATGTTACTAATAAATGTTTATAACAATCCGAATATAATACTAACAGAGGAACAACCACTTTATGTAAAAGTGTTAAGCAAAGAGGAGAGTACAAAAACAATTACAGTATCTGGAAAATTAACAGATGTTTGGGACGGTCTATTGAATTCAACGTCTGAATATATAGAGAAGTAATATATATATATATATTTTAGACAAATATATTTATTAATTCATTTATTGATTTTTTTCTTTTACAGATATTTAGATGAACGTGAATCTATCCGAAATGCCTACAAAAATTTAAAACATCCAATAGCTAAATATGTGTTAGGTGACAGAGTTTCTGCTAGCTTTGTTGGTGTATATAAAGAAACTAACGAGTGGCAATACGAATTGGTTGACACAAAATTGAAGGCAATAGTACCAGCATCAATGGTAGTCAATAAAAAAGTTCCGGAAAAGGGTTATAAACAAGAATGTATTGTACTTTGGATCGACTACAGTAGTGAACATGTGTGGATAAGTAATAAGCAAGCAGATTTAAAACACATATCTCGCAATTCTGAATTGCCAACAAATCTTGTGGGACAATCTGATATAAATGCTAAAGTCTTACTGAAACAGGAAAGTGTATTTATTTGTTCCTTAAAAAAGGGAAACCAACCTCTAATAGTCTGTCCTAGTCATTTGCATTACAATGATTTTGAAAATTGCGGTAGCATTAACGTTCAAGAGCAAAGTTTCTGCAAATTAAATTTTATTCGAAATACAAAACCGATTGCCGTTCTTGAATCTACATATAAGTTATTCTCAACTAAACCAAATAAAAAAAGAATTAATTCTGAAAGCAATGAAGCCCCAAGCAAAAAAAAAATTAAGAAGCACAGTGAGAGTGAAGAAGTAGTGACTGAGCGGATATCTAAGGAAACAAAAAAGAAAAAATTAATTGAAAAATCTGAAATACCTGCAAAGAAATCTAAAAGTGAAAAGAAATCAGTTACATTAAATACCAATAATGAATCTAATGAGAAGAATTTTACTGATCCTGGTAGTATTATAAGATTTGTGAACGATGCTAAATGGGATGCGGGAATAGTTAATAACATTTCAATAATCAATGAAAATAAGGAATTAAAGAAGAAAACTGCGAAAAAATCATGTGAGAAAGAACCTTCAAAATTAGAAATAAAGACGGAAACTAAAACTATCTTAAAAAAGCAAGATAATGCATCAGAAACTTCGATTGAGGATAATGCACTATTTTTCATAGACAAATCGCCTGATGATAGATATGTAAGAAAACTTGAACAAAATAGTAAACCTAAAGAAAAATTATCCTTACCTGGTATAGATAATTTTTGGAATATGGATTTATCTAATATTAATAATAGTGACAAAACTGTATCAAGTGATGAGGATGATGAGGCAACATCAGAAATACCACAAAAGAAAAAGAAACTAACAGCTACAGAGAAATTCAAACAAGAACGGGAGGAAGAAGCACGATTGCGAATAATTGAAGAAAAGTATGCTAATCCAGATCAAATACCAGAAACAGTAGATCAGTTTGATCGTTTAGTGATGTCTGACCCTAACAATACAAAACATTGGATTAGCTATATGGTTTTCCATTTACAGGAAACAGAAATAGATAAAGCACGTGCTGTAGCACAACGTGCTATTAAAACAATTCCTTTTCGCAATTTAAATGAACGTTTAAATATATGGATGGCTTTACTTAATTTAGAATTGCATTACGGTACTAAAGAAACTTATGATAATACAATGAAAGAGGCACTAACGTGTAATGATCCGATGCAAATTCATTTACGCTCTTTAGAAATATTGAAAGATTCTAATAACAGACAGGAGCTATTTGAAATAATTTCAATTATAACCAAGAAGTATAAAACGGAACCTGAAGCTTGGAAAGCTGTAGCTATCGCATATTTTAGCATAGATATGCCAGAACGAGCACAACAAATGTTGCAAAAATCTCTACTAAGTTTGCCTGAGAGAGAACGTAAGTATTAGAAGTACGCAATATATAAAGGATACTTTCAAATCAAAGTTTTTCTTTGCAGATGTTAATACAATTGTTATGTTTGCAAATCTAAATCATAAATATAATAAAAATGAAATTGCACAAACTCTGCTGGAGCAAGTAGTAACATCATATCCAAAGCGCGTTGATGTTTGGACACAATATGTTGATATGCTCGTTAAAGATAATCTTATAGATTCAGCGAGGTACGTTTTAATGTGCTGGATCGGAAAAAAAAAACAATTTTATTAATTCAAATAGGGTAAATTTTTTTTTGTCTCAACTTTTGTGATGTTTAGTCCGGAATCAATATTTTTATATTCTAGAATTCCATATTTTTATTTTTGAAAAACAGATTGGGGTGCTTTTCAAATTTTTCCTTTTATATTACTTTCATGTCACCAAATAATATTGCAGAAATAAACATAATTAAAAATTAAAAAACTGAGCATGTATTCTCAAGACTGAAATTTTTTTCAATTTTTTTACTTCAATCGCATTAACATAACTGTTGGTGGCAGTTAATATTTTTAAAGTTTACCTAACTACCTCATTTTCATTGTAAACAAGTTCAGAAAAATGGTTAATAACTGTTTTTCTGTGTTGATGTATTTCTGAACGAAAACAAGGATACTCAAATGATAGTTTTGTATATCCATAATCTTATTAACCCTTTATATATTAGACCAATAAGCTTATTTTAGACCCAAAATTATAAAACAAAAGCCAGTTAAGCATAAATTACAATAAAATTGTAAAGAAAATCAGACTTTTTTGTAAACTAAAAATTGTAAGGTCCGACTAAACATTTTAAAGTTATGAGACATCAAAGTTCAGAGAACAGAAAAACACCGAACACTTTTTCCCCATCCAATATTATAATACATATATAAACGAATTTAACTGAATACTTTTCTTTTATATAGAAGCATACTTGAACGTGCAGTTATGCAGAAGATTCCATTGAAAAAAATGCGTACATTATTCAAGAAATATCTAACATTTGAAGAACAGTATGGTACTGAAGAGAATCAAAAGAGAGTTAAAAATCTTGCTGCGGAGTATGTTAAAAATAGTACCACACTATAAAATATGTTATTGACTATTAATAATACCTATTTTATTTTATTTTTGTCACATTTAAAAGATTTGAAATTAAGCAAAAGTTTTGTATATAATATATTTAAATATATAATAAATAAATAATATATTTTTGTTATATATATTTTGTTAAAAATAAATAGTTTTTTATTACTTTAAACTATATTTTAAGTAATTATGTTGCGTGCATTCATTGACATATAATTATCCAAGAACTATAATACATAGACAATATATGTAAACAATTATTGTATACTAATATTTATTAATTATATTGAAATGAGAATTTTACATAATAATAATTCATAATAATTCAATAAACTCACGATTTAAGTAATTGTATTTTTGGAAATTAAAACTATATCTTATGCCAATGCTATGTTTGTTATCCGAAAGATATCTCTTCAATATTCCAAAAAAATTTTAACGCCAATATGTGTATGAATTTCGTCCGTGTTCGAACTTATTTATTGTTTGAAATTATATTTGGATTCGACAAAAATGAAGCGAAGAATATAATAGACAGTGTTGTCTGTAAATAATTATTTACATATTTTTCATTTGCTAACCGTTATCATATCTCATAAATTCTTTTAAAGTTTAATATGAACTTTACACAATTCTCTGAAATTTTAATCAATATTCCACAATGAAACTTTTTGGCATCTTAAATTCAACAGTAGTAATTCAGTATACGTAGATTTCATTAACAAAATAGTACGACCTCGCCCACTTTACAAATCTCGGCATTACACTAGACTATTAATACAGTCTATTAATCTTCCAACTAGACTAATACGTTCGAAGGAACACTTCAAAACTAAAAAAAAGCTAGACATGAAATACCGAATTATGTTGAGCATATCATGCATATCTCAATAAAACAATCCTTAAATCAGTATAAGGTTTAATATAAATAGATTACAACAATTTCAAAACAAAATACTTATAAATGTAATTAGAACACTTTTTTTTGGTATATTAGAAGTACTGACATACACAGGTACCTCACATTTACATTTTACTTCTTTAGGAGGTTGAAGAAGACGTTTCGCCATTTAATATAATAAATGTAAATTATATATGCCCGTATTTATTGTAAAGTATTGTGTATATATATAATACAAAAAAACTGCTAAATAGTCTAATTTAAGAGACTAGTTGTATTAATAAATAAAAAATTGGTTGACTGCATATGAAGCACTCGATTAACTTCATTAGCACGTAGCTTTTTTGTAAACATATAGTGTACCTTTAACAGCAACTAACCAGATTTTCAATAACAGATTTCGATGTTGTGCTATCGGATAATGGATTTTCAGTTGCGTTATTAAATTTTGCTTATATAAGAAGGTTCGTCATATTCTTGCATACACTATTATGATATCTAAAATATATTTTATTATTAGGAAGAAATTAAAAAATTTACTTTTTGTTGGTCCATGGTGATGTCGCTTAGGCAATATATCCTATATTATAGTATGGTACTTATATCCTAAGTGATTTCGCATAGATTATCAAATCGTTTCCACTGATTTTGACACAACAGGATTAAGACCATCAACAAATACAGCAATTCCATGGACGTTAGCATAAATAGTGATTATTCTATGTAACATACGTCAATTGCTTGTACGTTACCAACGTATGTATAATACAGTATATTAAATTATACTTTGTAAAGTGATTTGGAAATTTCTTTGAATTTTTTAAGATATATTATATTATTATAAGAAATATTACAAGAAATTTTCTATATCCCCTTTTGTTGCAGCTTCGATTGCATCATTGTGTTAGTTTGTTTAACTTAGTGATGGTTCAATTATGCAGTGCCCTTTTATGATTTTGACCAGTATCAAAGTGGTATTCTCATTCTCATTGTTTCTACGTACAATTTAAAAATATTATTGAATGCATATATGAATACTATTCCAAAAATTTGAAAGAAAAGGAGCTGAAATGTGGTAACAGTAATGAAAGGGATGTACTGCAGGCACTTTATGGGAATAACCTGGAGTCAATAAATGTAACATATTGCGAGATTTTGCAAACAATTAATTCTCAAAAAATACTAAATAAAGACAATGTTGTCAGTTGTAGTTTAAGTTTAGATTCAAATTCAAAAGAAATTTTAATTATTTTAGCATTTAATGTAGCAGGTCTAATAAAGAAAGTTAATTACTGCGATTTTATAAATTATGTAAACTCATTTGATCTGTTTTTTTTTTGTTTGAAACGTTAATGGAAAAATCCTTGGAGAAGATTGATAAAGTGTTTGAAAAGTATTTATTATGGTGGATTCCAGCAACTCGGGTCGCAATCAAAGGAAGAGCTACTGGCGGTATGTTATATGGAATAAAGAAGAACTTAGCAGCTAAAATCAATATACGATTTACACAAATATTGAATATGATGGTAGTTAAGCTAAAATTTGAAGAGACAGTGGCGTACATTATGCCAACATATATTAATTGTAACAACTGGGATGCGGATTTTAAAAACTTAAGTGATGTACTGTTCCAATTAGGGTGCGAAAATGTATTAATAGGAGAAATGTATTGTAGAAGACTGTAATGCCAGAATTGGTAAGGAGCAATGTTTGGAATTTAACCCAACTTTACAAGCCAATGGACTAAGTGCACAGCGCAGAGCTATGGATGACAAAGTAGATAGAAATGACAGAAGACTAATAGAAATCTGCAATACGGTAAGTCTTACTGTGCTGAATGGAAGATGCGAGGGCGACAAAGATGGCAAGCATACATTTCACAGAGGAACTATTGCCACCACGATTGACTATGGGTTAGGAGCGGGGATCTGGTTGAATAGAATCAAAAACTTCAAAGTGCAGGATTTTATTTACTCAGACCATCAGCCGATTACAGTAAGTGTCCACGCTGGGAAAATTATTTCGGAGGAAAATTCAGGTCTACAGTTGTTACCTAAACTATACTGGAACAAACGTATCGAGAAAATATATAATTTAACACTTAACAAATTATTGGAGTAAATAGAGCGACAATATGCTCAACAAATGGAATTGAGTTTTTGATGGATTGTATAAATAATGCAGCAAAGCCTCTGCAACAAAAGCAAAAAACTGGCGTAAAACAAAACCAATGGTTTGACTCTGAATGTAAAATATTAAGAGACACATCTTTTCGATTGCTAAGAAGAGTTAAAAAAACAAGATTAAATGAAGACATGACAAATTACAGTCAAGCAAATAAACGATTTAAAAAACTTCTTCAACATAAAAGAACAACTCACTATATTGAGCTAGCTATCTCAATAGCAACAGCAAAAGACAATAAATCCTTTTGGGGCAAAGTTCGAAAATTGAATGGGACGAGTCATATAAATAATGTAAAGCAAGTGTAAAGATAATAAAGCTCCTGGAGAGGATTGAGTACCCATGGAATTCCTTAAATATGCTTCGGATCTATTTATTGAAAATATGACAGCATCATTTAATTATACCTACAAAAGCGGCAATGTACCTGATTCTTTTCGCAAATCGATTATCTTCCAATTGTACAAAAAAGGCGACACAAAGAATCCAGAAAACTATAGGGGTATATCTTTTAACAATGCCATGGCGAAAGTATTTGCAAGTATTTTGAACGAGAGGCTACAAGAATGGGTTGATAACAATGCACTGTTAAGTGAATTTCAATCAGGTTTCAGAAAAAAGTATTCAACTGTGGATAACATTTTTATTTTAACTAATATTGCAAAAATGTATATTGAAAAAAACAAAAAACTTTATGTATTTTTCGTGGATTTCAAGGCGGCGTTCGATTCAATACTAAGAAATGCGCTCTTTTATAAGCTTAGGAACTTAGGAATGTCAACAAAAGTGATGCGGATTATTTGGAGCTTGTATCATGGTAGTAAAGCAGCAGTGTGGGATGGAAATATTATTTCCGATTTTTTTCTTACACAGTCTGGGGTTAAGCAAGGCTGTGTTTTAAGTCCACTTTTATTTACTTTATTTTTAGATGACCTGGTTAACTTTTTAAACGGTGGCATCGTGATTGATGGCATGCAAATAAAGGTTCTGATGTATGCAGATGATGTGGTGCTGTTTGCAGAGTCACCAAGAGCCTTGCAGCTAATGATAAATAGACTGAACGATTACTGTAATACCTGGAATTTAGAAGTCAATATAGCAAAGTCAAAAAAAATAATATTTAAAAAATATGCAAGGCGTCTTGCATGCGATGAAAAGTGGTACCTTAACGGTAAGTTATTGGAAGTAGTTAAGACATATAAGTGTTTAGGCGTTTGGATAACATATAATGCAACATTCGAAACACACATGGAGAAGAGCATTAGGAAATGATACGGTAGCTCTTTCAGTTAAATACAAAGTTTTCCAAGCTGCTGTCAACTGAATTATGAATTATGTTTCCCAAGTTTGGGGTTTTGAAAAATATAATGAGGTGGAAAAACTGCTGACTTATTTTATCAAACGTATTTTTCGTCTACCGGTCAACACGCTAGTCTACGCAATCTACCTGGAAACTGGCTTATCAACACTACATATCGGTACTTTAAAATCCCACTTTCAATATATTAACGCTGTTATGAAACACACAGATAGCAGACTTACCAAAGTCTGCTATCTGTAGCAGATGTAGCTTACGACATACTTTTTAGGTAGAAGGAGTTCGTATTTTGCGGCATGGTTAAATTTAGCCGAGGAACATGAAGAAAATTTGAATTTAGAGGACATGAATGGTTGGATTGACTGGCAGCAGCGCATTCTCCTAAAACAGGATCAAAGTGATAGCGACCGATTTGTTTATAAGGCCAAAACAAGCTACTCTAGACAACCATACAGAGAACTAACTTACAATCTGGGAACAATGAATTATTTTAATGATAAATATCCTGTGGAAAATATTCGTACAATTTTCAAATCTCGTACTGAACTCATCAAACTCAATTATTTACCCTACGTAAGTGGGATAGTGCATCTGTTTGCAGCCTATGTAATAAACAGGCAACGGAAAACGTTAAACACTTTTTCGCAATTTGCCCAATTTTAAAGGAAATAAAATACAAGTATTTTGGGAAAACGACTTTGAACCAAACAGAATTGCACGGTATCCTTAATGGAATGAACTGGCTGAATTTATGCGCGTATTTTAATCAAGCGATAAAATATAGGCAACAAATTATAGATGAGATCTTTTAACCGCACTTATGTATGCACACCAACAATATATACTAATTATAACATCAAACTCACTACAAGATTAGAGGGATTAGAAGAGTAGGCAATCGTTAGGTAAAGCTGACAACATTAGTCATAGCTTTAAGTAAATAATGTATAAAGTATGGATAATAATTGTATGTTTTTAAATTATTAATAAGGAAGTAACTAACTATTCCAAAAATAAAATATTTTTATTGAAGTTATAACAAAGCAATGGCATTCTGCAAAGTCTGATTAAATCACTGATTAAAAATACTATTTTAATGTAATTTTCAAATGTCCACAGTGTCTATATATTTAATACAAACAATTCAATTTATAAAAACAAAATTTCAATATAATTAATAATTTTATTTAAACTAAATTAATAACCCCTCAAGGAGTTACATTAAACATATAAAATAAATATTAACGCAAATCTAAATGTATATGTATATAAACATGATGTGAGTGCGCGAATCATAAAAAAGTTACTAAAATAAAAAACAAAATAATGACATTAAAAATATGCTACGAGAATATTTCCATAATTATATGTAATGAGAACAATGATAATATAATGATGATAAATATAAAATATTTATATAAAACGATACGGTCCTAATTATATCAATTTTTACTTTTTTTTTTCTTTTTGTATATATATAAATATTAACAGTCAAGAGTAAAGTTCATTTTTATATAAATTACTCTTTGAAAATCCCTCTCGCTTTGGCAGTAATTTTCCGCACTCTTCCTCTACTACTCACGCTTATTAATTGTTCGTCGTCGCTGTCTACAGAACTATCATCTCCGACGTCATCAACTGCTGCTAATCTATTGTATGATACTGTAGACACAGTAGCCGAACTTCCAACACCGTTATCATTCGTACGTCTGCGACTTGGCGCTGGTTCGTCGTCTTCACTTTGTTCATTATAACGAGGTCGTTTAAGATTTCGACAACCACGCTGCACACGCACTTCCCGATTGATTTCTGTTTTACGACTTTTTACTATATTACGTTGTGATCTTTTTGCTGCGGGTACATACGATGTCAACGGTTGATTGTCGTCAGAGTCAGAAGAATCTTCGGTGTGATTACTAGAGCCACCCACTGTTCCTTCATCTGAACCTCCAGCATCTTCATCTTCGTCATCATCGTGTGCATCAGTTTGAGAATTTTCTTGGCTATAACGTGAACGTCCACGCCTAACTTCAACAGTTGTTACTGCATTAGTACTATTAGTTGTATTTGATACATTTGATGTTGAGGTGGGAAAGTTGCGTCTGGAACGAGAAGCCGCAGCAAAAAGCCTCACATTTTCCAAAGGATCAATACTACTATCTAATTCATCAGCATTTCGTTGATGTCGGGATAATAAACGACGTGTGTTTCGCACATTACTGTTTGTTGTTGTCGGTCTTGTATCACCAATGTAATTGTGATCATGCGTGCTTAAGGGTAATATTCTACTGCTAGAGGACGACGCGGCATTTGATGTAGTTGAGGTTGCGTGAGAACGTGTCATATGTGATGTACTCGCACTAGTACTAATTGCTACCGCGTGCGGTCGTAATCGTTGCAACTGTAAAGAACTTTGTCGACTTACTCTAGTGGCATCAACTCGTATTGAGTGCTGTCTTTTACCTATAATGTGTTGCAGTAGAATATTTTAATGAGTAAATATACTTAATAACTTGTACGCCCCATACAACTTACTTTGTGCACTAAGCTGTGAATTCTGACTTGAAGCTAAAGGTTCGTCATCACTACCATCGTCGTCACTATCAATCCCCCGCGGTTCTACAACTGTATTTCTATTCGTTCGCAACTGCCTAATTACTGTGCCAGTGTTAGCAGCTGCGGCAGCAATAGCGGCACGACTTGTTGAAGGGCCATTTAAATACCGCGTATTATTTGCCGTACCATTAACCTTAGTTGGTGTTGGAGTAGGCAATATCTATGTAAAAAATTTTAAATTTATGATTGTGAAATTGTGAAAGAACATCATATTATATGTATATACCTCCTCAGCCTCATCACTATCTATCTCGTCAATATCGCTTCCTTTTGCCCATTCAAGAATTGCTCTTTTAGCACTTGAGCGTGTAGGACGTGTGCCTAATTCTCTTGAATCTGTATCTGATTCTTGTAAGCGTCCATTGCGAACTGGCAAATGATAACTATGGTCGTTTTCAGCAGGATTACGTCTTGAACCTGCTGCGCCACGAGTAATACGGGATGAGACTTCTGGTAAAGTACTTGAACTTGTACTAGGACCATTGGCAACATATGTTGTACTCTGCGCTTTGGGTGGTCGACCTTTTTTCTTTGGTGTATGCTGGTCCGTATCTTGAGTGCTTTCATCTATTTGGGAAACTACTACTGTTTCCTCATCACCGGAAGATTGGTATCGTCGACGTTGACCTCTTCGAGAATTTTTCGGATTTGAAACCGTTCTTTTAATACCATTGGCAGTGGGTTTACTTTTTTTATGTACACCATTTCGTTTACGTTGCGTCTGTTTTTGTTTATTATATTTTCGACGTTTTTTATTTTGACGACGATCTTTTAAGGGATTATAACTTTCTTCTGAATCATCATCTGAATGAGATTTTCGTTTATTTTTTTTTCTTGGAGAGCGTCCAACATTTGAATCATGGTCGTCATCGTCGTCATCATTATTATTACTATCACTGCCATCCCCACTACTTTCATCTTCACTTGATACATCATCGGCTTCACTATTGGAGCTACTCTCATTTTCTTCACTTTCATTTTGTTCATTTTCTTCGTCTTCCTCTTCATCTTCGTCATCATCCTCATCTTCATTTAGTTCTTGACTATGCGCTTTACGTCGTGAACTACGTGTAGGTTGTGCATCCTCTGTTCCATTTATTCGTCGATGTGATGATGAAGTAACACGATTAGATGAGTTTGATGTTACAACCTGTGAACGAGTTGGCCCATTTCTTCCAACTCGTCGTTGACTACTGCGTGGCTGCGAATCATCTTCATCATTCTCGACATCTTCGTCAGAACTACGAATTTGTCGATTAGATTTATTATTTCTTCGAGTAGAAGGTCCAGGACGATTTCTTTCAGATTGTGTCCTTTTCGTAGGACTACTACTTGATCCTCTACCACTATTCTTTTTGTTTTTATTAGCGCGCCGTCTTGCAGCTTTCCAGTTGCTGACGACGGTTTTTATGTGAGACTCAAAAAGAGCACTGAGGCGAAGCGTCATAGAATAAATCTGTAAGTAGAAAATGAAAGGTAAAAAATTATTTAACACCTTAACAAATTATAATAACTATAAGTGAATTAATTATTTATTCACTCTTTTAATATTCTAAATCTTACCGAGGAATAATCCTACATTCGATCGTCAATCATTGCAATGTTTGATTTGATATGATTGATTGAAAGCATGGTTAGGAAAGAAAAATATGTGATGATGGTGATTTATCAAAAAATTAATGAGAAAGAATTGATATTAGAATGAAATATTAGAAGTAGTAGATGAATTTTACTAAAAGTTCACAAAATGAATTGACGATCTTTTTAGTAGGCTCACCACTTTTTACACAAACAATGAAGGTAACACTTACTCTTGAGCGTTTGTTAGTGTTGTAATTCTTCGAGTTAATAAATATTAAGCGCACATCTTTTGCAAAATCCAAAGGATCATCATAATTTCCACCTAGCAAATCTTCCTTAACAGTGCGTAAGTCCATTGGAGTGGAAATTATTTCCAAATAATCTGGAAACTCAATTGTATCAACAGGTTCTCGAAATGGCGCTGAATCTGGCCTTTGCCAAAGTATATCTAGTAGTTGCCTGCAGTCGGAGCGCCAATCGCCATCTGAACGTATACGATTAGATCTAAAAGAGTAAAAATATTGAAGATATTTAATATGAAAAATGTATTAAAATACTTACCTTCGTGTTGATGATAAAGTTCTTCGCGCTGCTGCCGGCGTAGTAGCGCCTGTACTTGTAGAAGGCACAACATCAGAATCACGCTCATTCTCAGTTTCAGATGAATGATAGAAATCAACGTATTGATGATAAGCTGCGGCTACATCAATATCGCTAAGTTCTCTAAATATAAAAATAGTATTAAGTAAAAAACTTTTTTTAATTTCGTCAATTGGTAGTACCTAATAATCCTCAAACAAAGTTCTGTGATGATGCGTGCGTGTTTAATAATGTTTGTATGTGACCGATTATATTTTTCCGCATTTGTCGCTAAATAACGAACATCAAATTGCGCTGAAGTAATTCTACGATAAAAATGATTTTCAAAACGAGACTTTATCGTAGTTAAATCAATAGGATATTCTATTAAATATGCATAATCTGGATATATATTCAAATCAACAGGAGCCAAAAAATGTTCAGCTATAGATAAACGCATAACCTTAAATATTGAAAATGTTAAGAAAAATGTTTACAATATGGACAAAAATGAAAATTACTTGTTCAAATCCATTAATTATACGTCTACAAGATCCATCTCTATCACCTCGGTGCCATTCTTCCGACTTAGGTTGATATAAGGTTGCCCTAATTTCTTCTGGCAGTACAGGAACTGCACCACCAACTTCGTCAGGCAAACGATTCTCATCAATAGGTTCCATATCCCAAGGGCTCATATATTCGTATTCTCCGTTATCCCATCTTACACGAAAACACATAAAATATGAATTCGGAAACTCTGTCGCCAAAGCATGTCTAGATTCAATTTGACCCATCCACCAACCATCGCCAATCATACAACGAAATCGATCACCAATATTCCAATTCCTTTGCACTGCAAGTTCAAAAGTTTGTCGCAAAACTAAAAAGTCCAAGACATCTGGCATGTCATGGTACTTTATTTTAAATGAAGAACCTGTCATATTTCCATCTTCATCAACCATTGCAAGTTTAAGACAACATAAACGTGGTGGACGAATTTCATACTTAATCCCGATCACTCGAACTAACTCATGATCTCGCAAAGTTCGACAATTCCAGGGTTCTGAACTTTGTGTAAGTTTATAAACTTTTTTTTGGTTAACAGCTTCTAAATAACGTTGATGACCTTGTCGAAAATATACTACTTCGTCACCCATTTGAGGGTAGTAAGGTGCTTTACGAGGAATAACCTCTGATAACCATTCTGATGGACGATATAATTCAGATATTTCACCATTTGGAGCTGTTGGTGGTTGGGATCTTTTATTTCGACGTGATGCATTGGCTGCAGCAGAAGTTGATGCTTGCTCTGTTTCATCACTACTATCGTCACTAAGCGTGTGACGTCGGGATAGTGGCTTACGTTTACAACGTTTAGGTGGTTCCAAGTTTGGACCAGGAGTATCAGCAACCCAATCTGAGTAATCAGAGCTTTCTGTATCCGAATCATCAGATGATTCTAGATTTTCTTCTGCATTTGAATAATTTGTATCGCCAGACGTTGCGCTACTATCATCATCTTCTTCAGGCGGAGCAGGAATTGATTCTTCTTCTTCACGTACTGCACGGGTACGATAAGCTGGTTGGGAAGGTTGCCCGCGTCTCCGGCCAGCACGTCCACCATTTGCTCTAGTACTCCGTTGACGACCAGAACCCTGTGTTGAAGTAGCTGCATTAGAGGTGTTTATCATTATAGGACGACGCCTTAACTCTCTCTTATATTCTTGCATTTCAAAATTTCCAGAAGCATAAACATTTTGTCTTAAATTCTGTAGTTGAGCATATTTCATAGGACGTATATAGATTCGCCGTACATATTTCATGAGTGGCGACTGAATTTGCTGTTCTGGAGGTCTTCCCCAAGTAGTACCTTGCCGTGGAGGTATGCTATTAGCCTCAGAAAGACGGCGTATTGCTGGATTAATTCCTATACAATATTATTAAAATTTTAATGTTTTGACTAATGCAAGTAAATTCTAATTTTTTTACCGTTTCTTGTGAGATTATTTCCAGCTCCTAATTGAGCTGATATTCCTCTACTGCTTCCCGCGGTATTATTTGAATCTGGTGCTTGTTCCTGCCCTTGTCGATTTGCTAAAGCTTCATTCATAAGATCAAGCTGTGAATGGTTATTACTGGCGTTATTTGGCAATGACACTGTACCAGCTCCACCTTGTCGATTTTGCAAAGCTGCTATTAACCGATCAATTTGACTATAATTACTACCACCATTGTCTTCAATAACTACACCATCTGCCCCAATTGTAAGATTAGGTATAAGTTGATCTGTTGAACAGTTTTCTCTTCCAGGCACATAACGTTGATATTTAGCAGGATGCGGATTGCCATCAGCATCAACTAAAAATGGTGGTGGCATTAAATGTGGCATAATTTGAGTTTGTTCATCAACAACATGATGGGCTGTGTCTCTTAATAGTGGTCGATAATCGGTATGGAAAAACAATTCATTGGGTAACTGTATATAAATATAAAGAAATACTTATATAGACAAAAAAAAATTTTTAATTATTATTAGAATACGTACAATTTTGTATTTATCAGGTCCAATTCCTAGACCAAATATTAATATATGTCCATGAGAGTCTGTAGCAGCAATCATTGTACCATCAGGTGACCACTTAGCATCAAATACACCTCCATGACCCTGACCATCAATATCGTTAACAAAATGAGCGACAGAGATGCCCTGTTCTATATCCCATAGAAATACTTGACCATCGTGTCCTGCTGAAAGCAACACATGCTCATCTTTTGGATTTGTTTCCAAAACATATAATTCGTCTTTGTGTCCACGTAACACGCGGTGAAGTTTGGCAGTTTTTGAATTCCAAATTTTTATCTAAATATTTAATTATTTATGACATTTAAATTGGATATTGATTATATTTACACTTACTGTGAAATCATTTACAGCAGTTATCACATACTTATCAGAGCAATCCCATGCCACCATAGTTACTTTAAGTTTCTTTCCTTCCTCGGGTTCAGGACATCTAATAAATTTTAAATACAATTATAATTAGTTTATAGTTTTTGAAAATTATTTATATACTTACGTTGGCAACCGCTCAGACATACATAATTTAACACTTTTCCATTGCTGTGATTCAAAACTCCATACATGTGCTGTGCCATCTTTACTACCTGATATAAAACGCAATCCACGATGCGACCATTGAACTGAATCCACTGCATCTGTGTATGCTTCTGATTCTAATATTCGCTTTGGCCCGTCTTCCGACATAAGATATACGCGAACATGATGATCTGCGGAACCTGCAGCAAGAAATATACCTCCTGGTGAAAAACTAGTACACATCATTTGCGCTTGACCCGGCCTTAATTTTTCATGAAATTGAGTAGGTTTTGGTGCAAAAGAAACTTTTTGACCACGAGGTGTTGAATATTGCCAAAATGCTATAGAACCATCTGTGCTAGTTGTTACTAAGTACTTTAGATCACCTCTCGGAGAGGGACAAAAATTTACTGATGTTATCATGCCTGTATGTGAAGACAAAACAGCAATCGGTGAAGTAGATTGTAAATCCCAAACGCGCAAAATGCGGTCTAGTGAACCGGCAGCTAACATTGTGTTATCTAAATTAATTGCAATATCTGTAATTTCAGCTGAAGCACCACGTAAAGTTGCTAATAATCGGCCATCTGTTGCCGACCATATTTTAATTAATAAATCATCGGCTCCCTAAAAAAAATATTGATATTGAGAATAAAAGCATATATATTGAAGAGGTAACAATACCGTTATAATATAACGTCCTGTGCGATCAAATAGTACGCAATATACTGATGATAAGTGACCAACTGTTCGACGTAAGAGCTTCGTTTTACCATACAAGCTTGTTGGAACAAGCAGTTTTCTACGGACGGGTCCTCCATATTCACGACCAGTTAAAACTTTTTCTACATTTAAACATATTTATTTGAAATTAAACTGATTAAGTTTTTCAATAATATACTTACGATAATTATGAATGGGCTTAATTACTGATGAATCGGGCAGTGAAACACCATGATATCGAGTACAATAATCTAATAAAGATCGAGTATGGTATACACTATCTTTGGTGCGAAGAAGACTTTGTCGACCAGAACCAAGTAATGAAATAATACCGGGAACACTAGGCGCTAGTTCTTTATCTAAAATAGGTCCAATGCGACAACATATTTCCAATAAATGATTGTGTCCGATATGTGAATATTTATTTTCCTATAAAAATAATGAAATTAATTATTAGTTTTAATTATTAAAAGTAAATTTATTAACACAGTAACAGTTTAGGTATGGAAAAAAGTATTTAAAAGGTAAAAATAGTACTTGAATGCAAAGCTGCGACACATTTTTATTTAGAATGTAAACATAAAAAGAAATGTCAAAGCGCTTATATATACCTTTCACTCTAACTTCAACTTATTGGAGCAAATCATATACATTCTCTTCTTTCTGTGGTTTTACTTGAAAAATTTTTATGCATAAAATGTCTGCCATGGTACTGCTTATATGAATGACGATAATTTTTTAATTAATAAATTTTTGCAAATCAAATTTTTAAATGTTTTCAAATTTTATTAACAAAATTAACATATTTCTGCATGTAGAATTTCGTGTATAAGAAAAACAATAATTCTGTTAAGTTTAGGCTATAATGCAATTTTTTAATAATAAATAAAATACTAAAAATTAAATAATTGATTTCAAATTAATTGTTGTATAAAAAATATTTAAAAAAAAATCAATATTAATTTCACAACCCTATTTGCTAAAAGCAGCATTAACCAATATGGCGTCACTGAATAGAGAACAAAGAAGTTTTGCATAATTTCCATATGCATTAAATTTATTTCTTATGAATTATATGCATTTCTATTGTTCTATACATAATTAAAATGTAAAAACATTCAAATTTTGATTAAACCTTATGAAGAATATCATAGCAGTAAATATTGAACTTTATGCACAGTGGATCAAAATTATATTTCCATTGCTAGAAATTAGTATCCTTTCCTGATGCGTATAATTAATAAACAAAAACATTTGCTCCTTTACAATATAATTCCTATATCAATAAACAAAAAAAAAAACAAAGCATGACAAAAATTTGAAACACTATGCGTTTTGCACTACATAGACTCATAGCTCAGTACACTATAATATACATATGTATATAAATGGCACTGTTGCTTTATCATTCCACTGTATTTTCTTTACATTTATATTCTAATTCATTTTAATTCATTTATTTTTTTACTGACTTACCAACTCCCTAAACGTCTGCTCATGTTGATTTCCAAGCCAATCTGTACGCTTAGGTAATACCTTTAAGAAAAACAAAAAATTAATTAAATTACTGCATAACCAATGCAGAATACAATTAATAATAAATCTTAAATTAAATATAATTTTTGCAAGTTTTTTTTTTGAAATCATACGCATACAAACGCATTATTCGTTCCTCAGAGTCAAAACAAAACACAAGTACTAAAATGTCATATTATTTCAAATAAACACTGCACAATGCCAAAGGTAAATGAACACATAATAAATTTTTTTTATTTACGTCCGATAAAAGTTAGAAATAGTGCAATAATGTAAACAAAATTTTCATAAACTAGAGCAGCACGTGGTAATTCTTCACTTCACTTAGTTGGGATATTTAAAAATTTTCTTTAAAATTGTAAGCATTTGCCGTTTTTTATTAGTAATTTTAAACTTTGCATTACTATTTTAGCTTTAGTATAATTTGGAACTCTGATATAGGAGGACGTAAAGCGGAATTTGTTGTCGTTTGTATGGTAGCGGAAAAGTAATGTGTTTATATCGGCCACAGCGATGTATTGGCAGTAAGTGATTAATGGTTTGAAAATCTAATAAATAAGAATAATATCCACTAACCTTTTTTTCTTCTAATTCCTGCACTAAAACCTGGAAGTAAAAAATAACTTCATTTTTTGGAGGAATATTAAAAATAAATTCTTATTATCACCTTGGCTGTGTCCTGAAGTGGTCCGTTAGCCAGAAACTTTGTTATTAAAAAAAACAATTCTAAATAAATATAATAAAAAATATGTTTTTATTTTAATTTATAATATAACAATATTTATTCAAATTAAAAAAGCAGTATGCAATTATACATTTTCGGCGTCTTTGTTCCACTGTCAGCCTTTCGACGGTCACTAACTCTAAAGGGACATTTCAACCGTTTTCCATAAATGTTATTTACCTGGCGTTACAATCCTTTCCTCTATAGTTTGTGTATTATCCATTTTATGCCATTAAATCATAAAATTCTTCATTGAGTAGAATTTTCTTTACCTACATATAAATAAAAACTTTGCTAGTTGCGTAGCCCAACGACAAAATTCGCTAAGCTCTTCACCGATGCCACCTTTTCAGTCTTTTTCATACTTTTTTACACTTCTGAACAAGCAAAAAAGCAGTGTTGTGAAGTGTCTATAAATGTACTTACCATATCGAATTTAAAAGGTATGGTATTGCTACTCTTTAAATGCTTTCATTTACGGAAACAAAGAATCACTAAAAATTTTAAGAAATAGAAGCACAAATCATGTGTT